GAAGACTTTCCCAGTGTAGTCGCTTCAAAAAACACTTTCTCTATGGAGATAAAAATAAATTCCATGATAAGCTGGTTTCTCCTCTGGGCAGTTATTGGCCCTGTACCCATTTGGGAGGGAACTTGGCCTTGTACACATGTGGGGAGAAACTTGGCTTTTTACCCATGGGGGGGGGGGGGGAATCTTGGCCTTGTACCCATGTGGAGAAGATTTTGGCCTTGTACCCATGTGGGGAGGATTTTGGCCTTGTACCTATGTGGAGAGGATCTTGGCCTTGTACCCATGTGGAGAGGATCTTGGCCTTGTACCTATGTGGAGAGGATCTTGGCCTTGTACCCATGTGGGGAGGATCTTGACCTTGTACCCATGTGGGGGGGGGATCTTGGCCTTGTACCCAAATGGGAGGGAACTTGGCCTTGTACCCATGTGGGGAGAATCTTGGCTTTGTACCCATGGGGGGGGGGGGGGGATCTTGGCCTTGCACCCATGTGGAGAGGATCTTGGCCTTGTACCCACGTGGAGAGGATCTTGGCCTTGTACCCACGTGGAGAGGATCTTGGCCTTGTACCCACGTGGAGAGGATCTTGGCCTTGTACCCACGTGGAGAGGATCTTGGCCTTGTACCCACGTGGGGAGGATCTTGGCCTTGTACCCACGTGGGGAGGATCTTGGCCTTGTACCCACGTGGGGAGGATCTTGGCCTTGCATCCATGTGGGGAGGGGGTGTTGGTTATGGACCCGTCCCTGTTTGGTTCCATCCTTGGTGTCTCTTAAGGTGTAGGAAGAGTCCTATAGAATTGTCCTCCTTTGTTGGCCCATTGGAATGTTGGAATGTTGCCTCCCCCCCCCCCCCCAATGTACAGGTCTTCGAGGGTACAGGTCACTATACTACGTATACCAGGTTAGGTCCTTTATGTTCGGTCTTCTGGATGTCTCCATGTATTGCTGGGGTTGAAGGACACAGAAATATGATGGTTCGGATAAAGCGAAGAAGATGATGTAGGGAGACATTTGAATTTCTTTGTATGGTTGTACAATGTGAATGTGCAGAGGAATGCAGTCCTAAGTAAAGGGGACCTCCCGTGTAACTGTGTGTGTATTACAGATGATGACGAGGATCTAGAGGGATATGAGAAGTCCATTCCTGGGAAAAGGAGAGTCGTTCAGGTGAGCTCCAGGCTGATCCCATTCCAGTCCAGCATCAGGGAAATGATATAGAGAGACTCCGTAAAAATGGGATACTGACCCAGCTGTCCACTGCCTGTGTAAGACTGGCTACATCACTAGGGGGCTCTGGAAGTATGATCTGATAACTTGCAGGTGACCTCTATAGAGAAGGGCTGTGCTGTAGTCATTGGGTCAGCTTTTCCTTTCCCAGACAAACTGCACAGGAGGAACCAGGAGAAGGTAGGTGGACCAGGAAAACGTAGGTGGACATCACAATGAGGACAGGAGATGAGGAGGTCCCTCTGTTCTTCTATCCCGCTACAGCGAAGGGCAAGAAGGGGGCTGTACAGTCCCATAAGTTGTCACCTCCGGCAGAACTTCTGGAACAAATGTCATCTGGAGTGACCAAAAGTAAACCTTCATTGTATATCTGAGGACACCTTCATATCCCTTACCATAGGGTCATTCTGCCACGTTCAGGTGATAGGACACTGGCAAATCAAGACAGGAAGTTCCCTCCCAGATATAACCCCTCCCCTGCAGGAAGGGATTCAGCTTTCTACTAGTGTCTGAAGATGATCAGTCTCTAGTGATCAGCTAGCTTCTCAATGGTTCCATCTGGGATCAGGATACTGGCTTTATCCCGATCCTAAATGGTTCCATCCAGGACCAGGAGACTGCTTTTATCCAGATCCTAAATGGTTCCATCCGGGATCAGGAGACTGGCTTCATCTGAATCCGTATCCTAAATGGTTCCATCCAGGATCAGGAAACTGGCTTTATCTGGAACCGGATCCTAAATGATTCCATCCGGGATCAGAAGACTCGCTTTATCCGGATCCATAGGAGCCCTTCTTTAGCATTGCATAAGGATGAGGATGTCCAAGGCCTTTCTCACAAAGGTGGTCTCTCTGCCTTCCACCTTCATCGGGATCCCTTCCTTCCTTCCTTCCTTCCTCTCCCTAATTCCTTCCTCTCCCTCCTTCCTTCCTCCCTCCCTTCCTTCCTTCCTTCCCTCCTTTCCTTCCTTCCTTCCTTCCCTCCTTTCCTTCCTTCCTTCCTTCCCTCCTTTCCTTCCTTCCTTCCTCTCCTTCCCTCCTTCCTTTCTTCCTTCCTTCCTTCCTTCCCTCCTTTCCTTCCTTCCTTTCCTTCCTTCCCTCCTTTCCTTCCCTCCTTTTCCTCTCTTTCCCTCCTTTCCTTCCCTCCTTCCTTCGATCCTTCCTTCCCTCCTTTTTTTCTTCCTTCCCTCCCTCCCTCCCTTCCCCTCCTTTCCTTCCTTTCTTTCCTTCCTTCCTTTTCCTTCCTTTCCTTCCTTCCTTTCCTTCTTCCTTCCTTCCTTCCTTCCTTCCTTCCTTCCCTCCCCTTCCTTTCCCCTCCTTCCTTTCCTCCCTTCCTTTCCTCCCTTCCTTTCCTCCCTTCCTTTCCTCCTTTTCCTTCCTTTCCTTCCTTCCTTCCTTTCCTTCCTCTCCTCTCTTCCTCTCCTTCCTTCCTCCCTTCCCTCTCCTCCCTCCCTCCCCTCCCTCCCTCCTCTCTCCCTCCTTCCTTCCTCTCTCTCTCCTTCCATCCTCCCTCTCCTTTCTTTCCTTCCTTCCTTCCCTCTCCTCCTCTCCTCTCCTTCCTTCCTTCCTCTCCTTCCTTTCTTCCATCTCCTTTCTTCCTCTCCTTTCTTTCCTTCCTTTCTTCCTCTCCTTTCTTCCTCTCCTTTCTTCCTCTCCTTTCTTCCTCTCCTTTCTTCCTCTCCTTTCTTCCTCTCCTTCCTTCCTTCCTCTCCTTCCTCCCTTCCTTCCTCTCCTTCCTTCCTTCCTCCCTTCCCTTCCTCTTCCTTCCTTCCTTCCCTTCCTCTCCTTCCTTCCTCTGGATTCACACCCCATCCCCCAGCCATTTCCTTGATGTACAGAGGGGAGGATGTTCTACATACAGCCCCGTGCTGAGATATGATTGGAGCGGCACACCCGGAATCCACGTTTCATATCAATGTCTGATCACTCCTCCACATCGTACAGATTCTGAGGGGGGAGGGGAGGAGGTGCAAACCTCTGAGCACAATTGTATAGAGAATAGTGTGTAGAAATTGAGGATCCATAGAAGGATGACGGGGTGACGTCGGTCAGATTCCTGAGTGACCGTTCTGCTTTATTCCTCAGTGGAACCGCCGGAACGAGAAGGGGGAGACGGTCCTACACCGGGCCTGCATCGAGGGGAACATGAAACTGGCCAAGTGCCTACTGGAGAAGGTGAGCGACGTCTTCATCCCATCCTCCACCCACCAAGAGACCCTAATCCCATCCTCCACCCACCAAGAGACCCTACTCCCATCCTCCACCCACCAAGAGACCCTGATCCCATCCTCCACCCACCAAGAGACCCTGATCCCATCCTCCACCCTCCAAGAGACCCTGATCCCATCCTCCACCCTCCAAGAGACCCTACTCCCATCCTCCACCCACCAAGAGACCCTACTCCCATTCTCCACCCACCAAGAGACCCTACTCCCATTCTCCACCCACCAAGAGACCCTACTCCCATCCTCCACCCTCCAAGAGACCCTACTCCCATCCTCCACCCTCCAAGAGACCCTGATCCCATCCTCCACCCTCCAAGAGACCCTAATCCCATTCTCCACCCACCAAGAGACCCCTACTCCCATCCTCCACCCACCAAGAGACCCTACTCCCATCCTCCACCCACCAAGAGACCCTACTCCCATCCTCCACCCTCCAAGAGACCCTAATCCCATCCTCCACCCTCCAAGAGACCCTAATCTCATCCTCCACCCACCAAGAGACCCTAATCTCATCCTCCACCCACCAAGAGACCCTGATCCCATCCTCCACCCTCCAAGAGACCCTGATCCCATCCTCCCCCCACCAAGAGGCCCTGATCCCATCCTCCACCCACCAAGAGGCCCTGATCCCATCCTCCACCCACCAAGAGACCCTGATCCCATCCTCCACCCACCAAGAGACCCTGATCCCATCCTCCACCCACCAAGAGACCCTGATCCCATCCTCCACCCACCAAGAGACCCTGATCCCATCCTCCACCCACCAAGAGACCCTGATCCCATCCTCCACCCACCAAGAGACCTGATCCCATCCTTCACCCACCAAGAGACCCTGATCCCATCCTTCACCCTCCAAGAGACCCTAATCCCATCCTCCACCCTCCAAGAGACCCTAATCCCATCCTCCACCCACCAAGAGACCCTGATCCCATCCTCCACCCACCAAGGGACCCTAATCCCGGACTCCAGGATCCATCAACATCATTCCCATCAACTTCTAGAATTATCTCCCCATGTTTGACCTCTCATCCAAGGTTTCAGAAATATTCCCCCCTCCCTCTATATCTGATGTAGAAGTATCCTCCTCCCCCCTCTATATCTGATGTAGAAGTATCCTCCCCCCCTCTATATCTGATGTAGAAATACCCCCCCCCCCCCCCCCCCCCTATAACTGATGTAGAGGTACCCCCCCCCCCCTATATCTGATGTAGAAGTATCTCCCTGTAGTTCTGTCTGATGATTGGTCGGACATACATAATAATGGCGCGGTGATTATTGATGTCCCATTGTAGGGTCATTCTCTGAACCCGCGAGATTACTGTGGATGGACTCCTCTTCATGAAGCCTGCAACCATGGACATCTGGGTGAGATATGTCATGTGACCTCTGTCCTCACTGCCTTTCACCCCCTTCTCCCCCCCCCTCCTCCCCACTTCCCCCCTTCCCCCCACTCCCCCCTTCCCCCCACTACCCCTCTTCCCCCCCCTCCTCCCGCTCCTCACTCAGTCCCATTGTCCTCTGTGCAGAAATTGTGCAGATGCTGTTAGACCGAGGAGCCAACATCAATGATCCAGGCGGTCCGCTGTGTGAGGGGATCACACACCACTCCATGATGCCCTGACTTGTGGGAACTTCCATGTGGCTCAGCTGCTAATAACCAGAGGAGCGTCCGGGACCCAGAAGAATGCCAAGGTAATGACGGCTCCCTGCACAGTGTCTTCACCGGTAATGACGGCTCCCTGCACAGTGTCTTCACCGCTAATGACGGCTCCCTGCACAGTGTCTTTCACCGCTAATGACGGCTCCCTGCGCAGTGTCCTTCACCGGAAACGACGGCTCCCTGCGCCGTGTCCTTCACCGGAAACGACGGCTCCCTGCGCCGTGTCCTTCACCGGAAACGACGGCTCCCTGCGCCGTGTCCTTCACCGGAAACGACGGCTCCCTGCGCCGTGTCCTTCACCGGAAACGACGGCTCCCTGCGCCGTGTCCTTCACCGGAAACGACGGCTCCCTGCGCCGTGTCCTTCACCGGAAACGACGTCTCACTGCGCCGTGTCCTTCATCGGAAACGACGGCTCCCCTGCACAGTGTCTTTCACCGGAAACGACGGCTCCCTGCGCCGTGTCCTTCACCGGAAACGACGGCTCCCTGCGCAGTGTCCTTCACCGGAAACGACGGCTCCCTGCGCCGTGTCCTTCACCGGAAACGACGGCTCCCTGCACGTGTCCTTCACCGGAAATGACGGCTCCCTGCACCGTGTCTTCACCGCTAATGACTGCTCCCTGCGCAGTGTCCTTCACCGGAAACGACGGCTCCCTGCGCCGTGTCCTTCACCGGAAACGACGGCTCCCTGCGCCGTGTCCTTCACCGGAAACGACGGCTCCCTGCGCCGTGTCCTCACCGGAAACACGGGAAACGACGGCTCCCTGCGCCGTGTCCTTCACGGGAAACGACGGCTCCCTGCGCCGTGTCCTTCACGGGAAACGACGGCTCCCTGCGCCGTGTCCTTCACGGAAACGACGGCTCCCTGCGCGCCGTGTCCTTCACCGGGAAACGACGGCTCCCTGCGCCGTGTCCTTCACGGGAAACGACGGCTCCCTGCGCCGTGTCCTTCACCGGAAACGACGGCTCCCTGCGCCGTGTCCTTCACCGGAAACGACGGCTCCCTGCGCCGTGTCCTTCACCGGAAACGACGGCTCCCTGCGCCGTGTCCTTCACCGGAAACGACGGCTCCCTGCGCCGTGTCCTTCACCGGAAACGACGGCTCCCTGCGCCGTGTCCTTCACCGGAAACGACGGCTCCCTGCGCCGTGTCCTTCACCGGAAACGACGGCTCCCTGCGCCGTGTCCTTCACCGGAAACGACGGCTCCCTGCGCCGTGTCCTTCACCGGAAACGACGGCTCCCTGCGCCGTGTCCTTCACCGGAAACGACGGCTCCCTGCGCAGTCTCCTTCACCGGTAACGACGGCTCCCTGCGCCGTGTCCTTCACCGGTAACGACGGCTCCCTGCACAGTGGATGGAACTCTCCAGAATTTTGTTGGGTTTTCTCTGCCGGTGTTAGAGGTTTGTCTGCATGGAGGATACACAGAGGAGGAAAGAGTTTTCTCTGACCCGACGGCTCCCGGTCACCTGTCCCCCTGCTGGCGGGATGGAGGATCATCTATTAGATTCTGATGTCAGTGGACTCCGCCCTCTATGTCTGTCCTCCATGTCTCTTCTCTGCCACATTTTCAGGGGGTGACCCCGCTGGGCAGTCTGCAGGAATGGATTCAGATGTACGGCAAACACTTGGACAAGGAGACCCGCCAGGACTGCAGAGAGACCGAGAAGCTTCTGCGTGCAGCTCTGGCAGGAAGAGGTATTGGAGATCCGGGATATAGGAGGCGGGGGGGCGGGCGGTATTCAAGATGGAGGATGTAGAATGGGTTTTGGGGATGGGGTGGGGATATTCAGTATTGGGTGTTGGGAATGGGTGGGGATATATGGGATTGGGGTGTTGGGAATGGGGTGGGGATATATGGGATTGGGTGTTGGGAATGGGGTGGGGATATTTGGGATTGGGCGTGGGAATGGGGTGGGGATATTCGGGAATGGGTATTGGGATTGGGCGTGGGAATGGGGTGGGGATATTTGGGATTGGGTGTTGGGAATGGGGTGGGGATATTCGGGATTGGGGTGGGGATATTCGGTATTGGGCGTGGGAATGGGGTGGGGATATTCGGTATTGGGCGTGGGAATGGGGTGGGGATATTCAGAATTGGGGGTGTTAGGGATGGGGTGGGGATATTCGGGATTGGGTGGTGGGAATGGGGTGGGGATATTTGGGATTGGGTGGTGGGAATGGGGTGGGGATATTCGGGATTGGGTGTTGGGAATGGGGTAGGGATATTTGGGATTGGGTGGTGGGAATGGGGTGGGGATAGTTGGGATTGGGTGGCGGGAATGGGGTGGGGATATTTGGGGATTGGGTGATGGGAATGGGGTGGGGATATTTGGGATTGGGCGTGGGAATGGGGTGGGGATATTCGGGAATGGGTATTGGGATTGGGCGTGGGAATGGGGTGGGAATATTTGGGATTGGGTGTTGGGAATGGGGGTGGGGATATTCAGGATTGGGGTGGGGATATTCGGTATTGGGCGTGGGAATGGGGTGGGGATATTCGGTATTGGGCGTGGGAATGGGGTGGGGATATTCAGGATTGGGTGTTGGGGATGGGGTGGGGATATTCAGAATTGGGTGTTAGGGATGGGGTGGGGATATTCGGGATTGGTTGGTGGGAATGGGGTGGGGATATTTGGGATTGGGTGTTGGGAATGGGGGTGGGGATATTCGGGAATGGGTGTTGGGAATGGGTGGGGGATATTTGGGATTGGGTGGTGGGAATGGGGTGGGGATAGTTGGGATTGGGTGGCGGGAATGGGGGGGGGTGGGGATATTTGGGATTGGGTGGCGGGAATGGGGTGGGGATATTCAGGGATTGGGTGTTAGGGATGGGGTGGGGATATTTGGGATTGGGTGGTGGGAATAGGGTGGGGATATTCAGGATTGGGTGTTGGGAATGGGGTGGGGATATTTGGGATTGGGTGGTGGGAATGGGGTGGGGATATTCAGGATTGGGGGTGTGGGGATGGGGTGGGGATATTCAGGAATGGGTTGGGTGTTGGGAATGGGGTGGGGATATTCGGGAATGGGTTGGGTGTTGGGAATGGGGTGGGGATATTCGGGATTGGGTGTTGGGAATGGGGTGGGGATATTTGGGATTGGGTGATGGGAATGGTGGGTATTTGGGAATGGGTGGGGATATTTGGGATTGGGTGGTGGGAATGGGAGGGTGGGAATATTCAGGATTGGGTGTTAGGGATGGGGTGGGGATATTCGGGATTGGGTGGTGGGAATGGGGTGGGGATATTTGGGATTGGGTGGTGGGAATAGGGTGGGGATATTCAGGATTGGGTGTTGGGAATGGGGTGGGGATATTTGGGATTGGGTTGGGATTGGTGTTGGGAATGGGGTGGGGATATTTGGGATTGGGTGGTGGGAATGGGGTGGGGATATTCAGGATTGGGTGTTAGGGAATGGGGTGGGGATATTTGGGATTGGGTGTTGGGAATGGGGTGGGGATATTTGGGATTGGGTGGTGGGAATGGGGTGGGGATATTCAGGATTGGGTGTTAGGGATGGGGTGGGGATATTCGGGATTGGGTGGTGGGAATGGGGTGGGGATATTTGGGATTGGGTTTTGTTGGGAATGGGGTGGGGATATTCGGTAATGGGTTGGGGTGTTGGGAATGGGGGGTGGGGATATTCGGGATTGGGTGTTGGGAATGGGGTGGGGATATTCGGGATTGGGTGTTGGGAATGGGGTGGGGGGGGTTGGGGATGGGGGTGGGGATATATGGGATTGGGTGTTTGGGAATGGGGTGGGGATATTTGGGATTGGGTGTTGGGGATGGGGTGGGATATTCGGGATTGGGTTGGGTTGGGGATGGGGTGGGGGATATTCGGGATTGGGTGTTGGGTGTTGGGATGGGGTGGGGATATTCGGGATTGGGTGTTGGGAATGGGGTGGGGATATTGGGATTGGGTGTGGGGATATTTGGGATTTGGGATTGGGGTTGTGGTTTGGGATTGGGGGGATATTTGGGATTGGGGGTGATTGGGAATGATTTGGGGATATTTGGGATTGGGTGAATTTTTGGGAATGGGGTGGGGATATTCGGGATTGGGATTGGGTTGGAATGGGGTGGGGATATTGGGATTGGGTGGTGGGAATGGGGTGGGGATATTTGGGATTGGATATTTGGGATTGGGGTGGGATAATGGATTGGGTGTTGGGATATTTGGGATATTGGGTTGGGGGATGGGGTGGGGATTTTGGGATTGGTGGGTGTTAGGATTGATGGGTGGGGATATTTGGGATTGGGTGTGGGAATGGGGTGGGGATATTCAGGATTGGGTGTAGGGGATGGGGTGGGGATATTTGGGATTGGGTGTGGGGATGGGGTGGGGATATTTGGGATTGGGTGGTGGGGATGGGGTGGGGATATTTGGGATTGGGTTTGGGGATTGGGTTGGGTTTTTATTTGGGTGTATGGGTGGGGATATTTGGGATTGGGTGGTGATATTTGGGATGGGTGTGGTTGTAAATGGTGGGGATATTTGGGATTGGGTGTGGGGATGGGGTGCAGATGTTCAGGATTGGGTGTTAGGGATGGGGTGCAGATGTTCAGGGTTGGGTGGTGGGAATAGGGTGGGGATATTCAGGATTGGGTGGTGGGAATGGGGTGGGGGATATTTGGGATTGGGTGGTGGGAATGGGGTGGGGATATTTGGGATTGGGGGTGGTGGGAATAGGGTGGGGATATTCAGGATTGGGTGTTGGGAATGGGGTGGGGATATTCGGGATTGGGTTTTGGGAATGGGGTGGGGATATTCGGGAATGGGTTGGGTGTTGGGAATGGGTGGGGATATTTGGGATGGGGTGGGGAGGGGGTGGGAATATTCGGGATTGGGTGTGGTGGATGGGGTGGGGATATTTGGGATTGGGGTGTGGGGATGGGGTGGGGATATTTGGGATTGGGTGTGGGGATGGGGTGGGGATATTTTTGGATTGGGTCTGGGGATGGGGTAGGGATATATGGGATTAGGTGGTGGGATGAGGTGGGGATATTCGGGATTGGGAATGGGGGTGGGGATATTCGGGATTGGGTGTTGGGAATGGGGTGGGGATATTCGGGATTGGGTGTCTGGAATGGGGTGGGGATATTTGGGATTGGGTGTCTGCTCAGGATGTTTTGCTCGGCTGGTGGTACACAATGTCCTGAACTCTCCCATTTTCTGCCTTCCAGTGGCTCAGACCCCCAAACCTAAAGGAGAACTCCAGGACAGTGAGCTGTTTGATGCTGAGGGATCCCAGTCTGTGGCCCCTCCCAGGAGCAGTACCCAGACAGGGAGGACAGGCGCTGACAGACGGACATCCTCTTCCAGGGATCTGCTTCGGTCTAGTCTGGAAGCCGAGAAGGAGATGACTCCTTGCTGGACCATCACCCAGATAAGCAGGGAGGGGCCCCTACATGAGGAGGACTCGGAGGACCTTCTCACCCCCCTGAAGCCAGTCAAGAAGAAGGCTCGGTTTGCGCTCCAGAAGTCATTCTCCAACTTGGACGTGATCCCGGCAAGGAATGAGGCTCCTGACTCCCCCATCCCCTCCTCCCATCCCCGACTTTCTGAGGGAGGGAAAGAAGCATACCAAAAAGCCATCCAGAGCCTGGGGAGTGCCAAATCCCGACTACTAAGCCAATCCTTGGCTCAGCCAGATCTCACTGATGAAGGTTCTACCAAAGCGGCTCTGGTGCCATCAGAGGAGTACCTGGGGGATGATTGGCTGGAGGATGACCTCAGGAGTGAATTTCGCTCCAGAAAAAGGTTGCACAGGTCCCCCACCCCCGTAGAGATAGAGGAGCTGGAGGAATCCAGTGAATGTGAAGAGGAGGATGGGCCTGAGGAACGATGGAGGGACAAGGTGGCTCCTCGCACCTTGACATTGTCCCGTAAACGCTCCAGGCAGACCAAGCTGACCCAGATTGTAGACAGAGCCATTGTGGGCCGTACCAAGAGCTGTGCAAAGAATGACATCTCCGTTCCTCGTGTGAGCGACACTGTCCGAGTCCTGAGCACTCCGGCAAACAACGGACAATTTCTTCTCTCGGCTGTCCCTCAGGTGCGTTACTATGAGGAGGAGGAGCCTTCCTCATACAGTCCCCTCCTTATGTTACATTCCTACAGTGAGGGGGAGGAGCCTTCCTCATACAGTCCCTTTCATTGTATTCCTACAGTGAGTGGGAGGAGCCTTCCTCATACAGGACCCTCCTTATGTTATTGTGGCGGAACCGTTCCGCCTGGGCTTCCTCGTGCGGAGCGATGAGTCTCAGCCAATGGTCCCCTTGTCCTACAAGTCTTCCAGCGCTCTGCCAAGGCAGGTATTAGAGCTCAAAACCAATCCTTCCCTGCTCTCCCAAACCACGAGTTGGAACTTCGTGTTGGGTGAAAAGAATCAATCTTTATATACAGCTTCACCCCCACCAGACAGCCTGGCACCGGGTTTTTCCCACCCACAACAAACCATACAACCAACAATACAGTATGAACTCTATAGAAGGGAAAGACTACAAGGTCACATTTCCCTAAACAAACCGTGTAGAATGTCTGTGCAACATATACAGCTTTACAAAGGGGAGAACGGGAAGACCGCTTACCGAGGGGGAGGACGGGAAGACCGCTTACCGAGGGGAGGACGGGGAAGACCGCTTACCGAGGGGAGGACGGGAAGACCGCTTACCGAGGGGAGGACGGGAAGACCGCTTACCGAGGGGAGGACGGGAAGACCGCTTACCGAGGGGAGAGGACGGGAAGACCGCTTACCGAGGGGGGGAGGACGGGAAGACCGCTTACCGAGGGGGAGGACGGGAAGACCGCTTACCGGGGGGAGGACGGGGGCTTAAGGGGAGGACGGGAGACCGCTTACCGAGGGGAGGACGGGAAGACCGCTTACCGAGGGGAGGACGGGAAGACCGCTTACCGAGGGGAGGAGGGGAAGACCGCTTTCCGAGGGGAGGAGGGGAAGACCGCTTTCCGAGGGGAGGAGGGGAAGACCGCTTTCCGAGGGGAGGAGGGGAAGACCGCTTACCGAGGGGAGGAGGGGGAAGACCGCTTACCGAGGGGACAACCGCTTACCGAGGGGAGAACGGGAAGACCACTTAACAAGGGGATAAAACCAGAACAGAAAGGGCAAAATGTTATCACAAAGGGACAGTTTGTCACAGTTATATTCCTACAGTGAGTGGGAGGAGCCTTCCTCATACAGGACCCGCCTTGCACTATATGCCTCCTATGATGGGGAAAAGACGTTTGTTTAAGGAGGAGCTACATTTTCCTGCCCATTTGGGAACACAGTGGACTCTATTTCCATTGTGACTTCCTGAAGCTCAGAGCTGTTGGGTGACCCCAATGTGATGACCCCTTTGTGATGGTGGTTTGGGGGGCACACATCCCATTCTGGGGTGTCCAGTTTATCTCTGTGATCTTTTTCGCTCTATCTCTTACAGACGCCAACAGTGACCCCGGCTCTGCCTCCACCAATGAGAGTGCGCGTCATAGTTCAGGATAATGTCTTCCTCATCCCCATCCCTCACAGGTAAGTGTCCCCGCTCTCATCCTTATGGGTCTTGTACATGGGCCACATTGTGGGAGGAGGGGAGCTGCGCTGTCCTCTCATGTCTCCCTATGTTGAGCAGGACAATCAGTAAACCACCAGTAGTCTCCAAATGTGCACACCGCAAGATTCAGACAAATACAAACATACTGTCTGCCCAGTATAGCCTCTCCTAGATTCAGCTTTCCTTCAATGGAGACTGTGGCTGCACCTCTAAATAGAAACTATGGCTGCTCCTCTCAATGGAGACTATGGCTGCACATCTTCAGATGGACCTGACTTTGGAGGACATACAGGTTTCTCCTGTAATGTGGCCTTCAGGCATTCGGCTCTGCATTGTGGCCCTTTCCAGACCTGAGGGTATTTTATTACCTGTTGAACCTTCAGCCGTTCTGTCTGATGTTGAGTCTCTCAAGTTTCTGACGGGCAAGCCTACACCTGAAGAGTCAATGTCTGACATTCTTTGCAGACTGGAGGAGGCCATTTCCGCTCCTAATAATGCGAAACGCACCAGTTTAAACCTCAAGGAGCAGCCATAGCCAATACCAATGCTGACCCCAGTCTAGGCTCCGTCGTGGTGCATCTACTGTTTGTCTTCCCTTTATGGCGACTGGAAACCTCCTGACAAGCTCTGTGTATAATGTACCTCCCAAGCATCTACCAACCTTGTACCCATTTTAGGAGGACTTTATTAAAAAGTGGGCTCTCTGTGGATCGGGCAGTATCTTGGCCTAACAAAGTGTTTTCCATTCTGGTGGGGGAGTCACCTATCTGTAAGAACCCCACTGACAAGTGACTAGAGGCCTTTTCTAGAGCTCTCTGCTCCCTGGCAGTTCTTGCTGTACAAACTGTCTTGCCCATGACGTTCATCTCTCAATCTCTGGCTGACTGGTCAAATGTCATTGGTTTGGGTACAGATCACCTTGGTAGTTGACCCCCTGGTCATAAAACATTTGGAAGTCACATTCTCAGCCTTGAGCTGCAGTATGAATGGGTTGTTGGAGGTCTCCTGTTCTAAGTCTCTTGTCAGTGAACATGAGGAGGACCCTTCAGCTAAAGTGTTGGGCTGTGGAACCTGTATGCAAAAAGTGCTTGATCCACATGTCCCTCAAGGGACATTTCGTAACCACTCTGGGTGCCATCAACCAGAATGTTGCTGGTGGCAAGATTACCCATCTTCTGGGGAAAAAAAATCCAGGTCTCAGCCTAGAAAACCTCACCCATGATGGTGGCCAAGAAGAGTCCTTTTCAATATTCTGTGGCCTCAACCTCCAAAGTCAACAAGTCTGGCACTTGGTTTGCCCACAAAACATGGACTTCCAAGGCCTCCAAATCCTCAGATAAATCTTCAAAGTGAAGGGTTGTCTGTTAGCCTTTTCAGACACTTTGACAACCTGCATCTCTGATGCTTGGACGCCTGAGGTGGTTCCCGGAGTCTACAAGCTAGAGTTTCACTCTCTGCCCCTTCCCAGTTTCATGACTTTCAACTTTCCTGTGTCACAGCTTAGATCTGCATGTGGCTTTCTGGAGCAGGGTGTCATTGTCCCAGAGTCTATGGCAGAACGGTTTCAGAAGTTCTACTCCAGACTATTCACAGCTCCCTTCTTGGATCTCAAGGCCCTAAATTCTTCATTGGAGCCCAGGATTGCTGCATGTAATCCTCCAGATCTGTCATAGCCTCCCTTTAGGGAGACTTTCTGGCCACTGTGGGCATGAATGATTCTTACGTGCTTGTTCCATTGTTTTGGAATATAAGCAGTGCCTTCTCTTAGTATTGGGCCTTCTGCTCTTGCAGTTTGTGGCCCCAGCCATTCAGGCTGTCATCTATACAGTGAGTATTCGACCAAGGTGCTGGCCCAGGTGCTACCCTTACTGCGGTCTCAGGGCATCCCCATTGTGAGATATCTAGATGACATCCTGCTGAGAGAACAGTCTGCACAGGTTCTGGTGGACAAATGTGGCTCTGAACAGTCAGACCTTCCCGAGGTTCAGCCGGGTTCTGAACCTTCACATATCAGCTTTGGATCCAGGTCTTTATGTGGAATATCTGGGTCTTCTTCAGAACACAGCTCAGCCTTGGGTGTTGCAGGAGACTTGGGTGTCTGAGAATTCACATCTGATCAACATTCTTGAACTTCAGTCAATTTGGTTGTCTCTGCAGTGCTGTACCTCCTGGCTGGAGGGTCATAGTAACCCAGATTACATTGGATAATGCCATGGCAGTGCTACACAATGGCCTCCAGGGAGGAACCATCACTCCGGCAAAAGAGGTAGGGTGGATCATGTCATAGGCAGAACTTCACTTTACTGCCATATTCGCCATTTACATTCCAGGTATGGACAATTGTCAGGCAGGCTTCTTCAGCTGGCAGCACCTAGACCTGGATGGAATGGTTCCTGTTTTAGGACTTGTGTTACAGATGGGGGATACCGGATATGTAGCTCCTCACCTCCCAGGTTCACCAACGAACTGGGTGTGTTTGTCTCCAGGTACAGGGATCCTCTGGCAGAGGCATTGGATGCTCTTGTGGTTTCCTTGGGATCTGTACACCCAGGTCTATACTTTCTTCTCATGAAACGTCTTCATCTGCTTTACAGAGCACAGAGAAAGGGCATTTCTGTGATCCTAATAGCGCTTGATTGGCCTAGGTGGATGTGGTACTCTGACCTGATCAGACTCCTTGCGGATATTCCATAGTCTCTTCCAAGTGGTCCAGGTCTCCTGTACCCAGGACCAGTTTGCCACCATGATTCAGGGTTGCTGGCTTTATTGACATGGCTGTTAAAGCCCAGGAGCTAAGGGACAGAGACATCTCGGAATCAGAAATCCTATCAATGATAATTTCTCAGAAGTCTTCTTCCTGCAGGCTCTATCACTGCACATGGAAGACATACTTGGTGCAGCACAAGAAACTTTCACTCCAGGAAATTCGATGTGAGATGAGTTTTGTCCTTTTTGCAGATAGACCTGGATCAGCATTTAGCCCTCACACCACCGTGGGTCCAATCTCTGCATCTCTGCTCTGAGATTTGAGATTGTATTCCAGATTCTGTTGACTTCCCATTCTTTAGAGATACAATGTACAAAAATCCTAATGTGGCTCCCCCTCTGATCTCCCCTTTGACTCCAAAGGATCAGAATGTGGTGCTCTCTGCATTTCAGTCCACCAGTCCAAGAAATTCCCCTCTCCACTCTGACCAGGTTGTTTTGTTCCTCGTTGTCATCACCTCTGCCAGGTGAGTGTCTGGGCTGGCAGTCTTATCCTGTAGAGGACGGGTTTGGTCATACACAAGGACAGGGTGGCGGAGCCCAGAACCTCCATCTTACCTAAGGGAGCTTCAACTTTTCACCTCAACAAGGACATAGTTCTATTCCTCTATCTGGTCCAGGTCACCAGAAGGAGATCTCCCTCCATGGCCTGGATGACGTTCATGCTGTGAGAGATTACCTCTCAGCCACTGCTTCCTTCAGTTCTCTGTCATTCCTGACGGTCCTTGTAAGTGTTGAGCAGCTCTTGTTCCATTGTTTCTCAGTTGCTCAGACAGACCATTATTTGGGCTTATGATGATAAGCACCGGGTTCCCCCCTTCCCTGTCTGGATGCACTATTAGATCAGCATTTCTGGGGTTCTTAGGCATCAAGCTTCCATTCCCCAGATTTGTAAGGATGCCCCCTGATCTTCCGTTCACACGTTCTGTAAGTTCTACCAGCTGGGTCTCCTGCAGGATTTGAGTTTAAGACTGGTTTTTCTTCCACCTCCATGCAACTTACATTCACAAGGGGTACTCCTCTCCTTTCTTCATGGAGAAATTTTACATGGACCCCCTTTTCTACACAGGCATCCCTGGCCTACAACCCTAAGCCTTGTTATTTCCTCCCCCTCCGATCACTGGATCCCCTGCTGTACAATCTGAGTGGTCTTCCTAGCATTCTTTTATTTAAGAGTATTCACTTGTAAAATGAACAAACGGAAATCCAACCACCATAAAGCTCTTAGAAACCCTTCACAGCCGTTGTCCTGTGTAGCTGGAATAGCACAGCCATGACATCATGAGGCCAGATATACAACAGAGTCCGACATTCTAGGGAAGTCTATCAGGAGCCCAATAGGGTTGTACAGTGAGGAGAGATTTGGTCCAAGGACCCCATACTTATTTCAGTTTTCTGGAGATCCTCCAGTAGAATATGTAAGCAGGTAAAGCAGCAGAGCTTTGCATCCCTAAAAGAATTGGCCTTGACACCAGTTCACTTCTACATGACCTATGACTTGGAAATAACTCATTTCTCCTGCCGGACTCACACCTAGGCCTTGGTACCTGGAGGTATGGGTTACACCTAGTATGTCCTCTTCAGAACATCTCGGCTTCTGTGCTCTCCCCTTTACAATGAGTTGCTCTTCTTTGTTGCAAATTTTGTGCCTCTCTGGGCCTTCCTCAGGTGTTTGTCCCACACACAGCCCCCCCTTGTACTGAGGCTTCTTCCCTTATGGGGGGCCCCTGTAAGAACAGATTCTTCTCCATTCTATTACATCTAAGAGCAGTAGTTCTTCTTTGGCTCCCCCTGCATTCTGCCTGGGGCCCCACCTTTACTTATACTACATAGAGATAAAGAATCCTGGAAGCCAGTCCTTGTTGTCTCCCTGGGGCGTCTTTTTTTATCACCTCCCATGGAATGTCATTCTCCCTCCATCTGTCCTGCCCTGAGTACAAACACTTACCATGCGCCTTGTGGATGGGGTCAGGACTGTCGTCTATGGCTGCCGTCCATGTGTTACCTTGACAACCGATCCCTCTTCTGTTTCTCACAGGATGTCTCTCTGTGGGATTCCTCCTGGCTGGGTGAGTAATTTATCTTTCTTTAGGACTTCTGCCTTCGGCAATCGTGTCCCTCCATTCCTACCTGCACCCATTCCCCTGGAGGTCGGGGTTCCTGGGTTTTTTACAGCAGCTTACATCGGTTTTTCTGAAGGGTCACTGTAACG